CCTCAAGCACCACGGAGCTATTTAAAAGCATCGGGAAAGCAACCACAGAGGAAGTGGAAGTGGGTGGCAGGCTCCTCTCAGGTTAAGAGACTGCCTCCCAACCACATCCCTGCACACCAGGGTAGAGCCCTAAACCACAGGCTATTGTCTGTCCTAAGACTATTCCTGCAGAAGTTTTGAAATGGAAAAATATTTACTGGATTAAAGAATGAAACACCTATAGAAACTAGATTTCCCTCACCTGAATGCTTTAATCACAGGGCAGGAGTTTAGGCCTCTGGCCTAATTACTGTTGTTTTTTTTTTTTTTTTTTTTTCCAGAGGTTGCAGGTGAAATAAAGGACAGCTTATGACACTCTGCTTGTTTCAGTCTCTTGGGAAGGGGGTGATGTGAGCTCAAGGTACTTAAAGCTAAAAGGACAGAGAATAAAGTGTCCCACTTAATGAATGTGTGATACAACTAATGCACCATAAAACATGAAGAGAAGAGAGATTAACATAATTGCAAATGCTTTTACTCAAGTTTGAGTAAATAGATTACACTTATTTCTTAACAAAACAAGCTTTTCTAATCCTGAGGGAACATTCCCATCTCTGGATGCCAAAGGCAGTGAGGCAGGAGAGAGATTCCACTCTCCAGAACAGTCTCAGTGGTTAACAGCTATGGATGGATGCAGAACTGTGCATCTCATCTTCTTCACAGTAAAAAAATGTAGAAAAGTGTGCTTTCAGACATGGGTTTTAGGACCATCAACCTCAGCTTTGAGGCATCTAGTTGTAAAATAGGCCACTCAAATAATTTATGAACTCAGGCAGTAATACAGCAGAGAGAAGAATTTCCCCCCTCAACAAACCCCATAAATTATATATAAGAAAGCTTCTAACAACTATTTAAACTTTAAGTTAAACCTATGTGTATCAGAGAGATACAGGACAGTACAGAATGACTTTTATCTAAAATGTCAGTTTAAGTCTACCCATTCCCTTAAAAACACCAAACCACTTCCACAGTGTTTTTATATTGTGAGAACTTGCACTCTGTCATCCTGAGCTCATCTCATCACAGACAAATGGGATCAAACTGAACATTTCAGTATGCCCCATGCCATATTCTAGTCATGACAACTCCCATGCTGAATGGATGTTATGGATTCACCAGGCCTTCACCAGGCCTGAGGTTCATTAATCACATTTAATAACCCAAGACTTGAACCAAACCAGACTAGCACTTTTGATAGGCACACTTAACACCACAATCTGCACTGCTACTGGAACCTTCAGAATTAATGTCTCACACATTATAAACATTGCAAATTCCTTACACAGATTTACTCAAAGATAAAATTAGTGCATTAGCTTCACCTTTTGCACTGCTGGTCATCCAAACCATGTTAAAATCTGTCAACCCATCCACAATGAAAAGCACTACAGAAGTACTGTCATGGACAGGAAAAAAAAAAGGTAATATGCACAAAGGAAAAAAAGGTAAAGGTAATATGCACAAAGGGAAAAAAAAAAAGGTAATATGCACAAAGAAGCCCCTCAGAGCACTGGTTTTCTAGTCTATTGACAAGTTCATAAATTAGACAAGAGTGTTTAAGTTGTTAGCACGCCAAAGTAACCATTCCTGAGTTAAGGCTGAGTGATGTTTAACTAAATCTCATGGCTGGTACCTTCATGTTGGCATCATTTCTAAACATTTTAAACCTACAATACTAAATAAAAATCTTTCAAGCACTTGTGTGTCAGTGCTGCACTGGGTCAGTCCTGAAAGGTTATGTCCTATACCTATCACTGTTATTTTTTTCTGTAGGATCAGCTGCTGCTACCAGTTTAAATCAAGAACTTGTACTGAGCAGTATGTAAAGATAGAAAATAAGACACGTTTTTCATTTTAATTGGAAGTAGGAATTGGAATTCTGTCTAAGTAGAAGAATGGCAAATTCCTGGTACTTCATAACAATTAGGACCTGTACAGCTCAAATCATTCAGATTGCTCTTGTTATCATTCACACGAGTGCAGAGCAGCTTCTATTACATTTTTAATTTAAACAATAAAATTCAAATTTATGACTGCATTTTTTTGCAGCTCTCAAACTGCCCCATATATTAAATATTTTAATTCATGCCTCTCAAACTGTTTTCTCTGATTTAGTGTTACTGTTTTGCATTCCTAGATAACATGAGTAGAAAGCACTGCTAAAAGAATGATTGATAATACTGAAATGGATCCAAATACAAACTGAATTCAGTACAGAGGAAACACTAAGATGTTTGGCTGCTTCAAATTAACATATATTGTTAGCATTCATACACCCCTATCCACTGACATTATAGGTCCCAATAAAATACCCTGTTTGTCTCCAGGGATTTTAGTGGGAGACTTAATGATGTCTGGATCATATACAGGGCTTAGACATAGAATAGCATTTTTCTAGTTTGTATAAAATGTGAATTGAATTATTAACTTCATGTGCTACTGCATGTAATATACATCTAGTGCTCAAGAATGCCAGTAATTCCACAAAAAATATTCTACAGTTTCTCCAAAAGCTCTAATTAGAATAGCATTTGGAAGTAGATAAAAATATGATAAATAGATCTTACTTATAGTACCTGTACACCTACAAAATATTATTTCTGTCAAAGTACAGAAATGGTTATTCATCTACATAACATATAGCATTTAAGCTCATTTTGTATATCACACAATGTGGAAATCTGCAACATACTGCACATGGAAATCCTCAATGCCTTTGTAAGGCTGCCATACTGCTGAGGACCAGATATTTCAGCCTGACAAAACAGCGTCAAAAGTGATGTCACGAGGACAAGCTAAGCACACTAACAATGAATTATCTTCTCAGCGCTGTAAAATTCACTATAGACTCACTGTCATGGCAAAATGACATCTGACGACAGTAATTATGCAATAGTATCCAAGATGATCACCATTTTTCCTTTCTGACTTAACCAAGGGGGTTTTATTCTAATTACTGGTATACACTGTCTTTTCAATCACTTGTGGTTTGTTTATTTTCAATTTTTAAGAGCAGAAGTTCTTGGGGGAAAAAAAAAAAAAGCATCACTGCAAAAGCAGCACAGGAGGGTACTGAAGAAGTACAGAACAGGACACAGTAAAATATTGCAGTCTTTGAGAAACCATGTAAGTAACTCAGAGAGCCTTGCTTATACTTGCCATGGTTTACATTGAGTGAAACTTTAAAGACCAGCAGTTAAACTATACTACAGCAGTTTAAGTTGAAGAATAAAATTCTTAGAATTTTATTCATGGTTGCTACTCCATGCTCTTTATAAAATTAAGTCAAACCTTTCATGATATTCCCATAATCTTTAATTTATTTTCATTAAAACATTTATTTTAAAGTGTACCATAGGAAACAGTAGGAGTTTAATTTTTAATTTGGGCCTGGTGAGATGGAGGACTGGGGGTATTACAGAAGAGTAGAAAAGAGACTTAAATTTACAAGGTTTATTTTTAAAATTACTTTTAAAAAGTATATTGCTGATGTAACAGTCTTCCTTACATGTTACAGAAATATGAAAGTTACCATAACAGAGAAAAAGGAAGTATCAGCTCAGTTCTTCCCTGTGTAACAGGAGTTGGGGTATTTTTGTAGAGCTGTGCTGAGCACGTGAAAATCTTTGCCCACAAGGCAACCGCATGTCACGACAGCATTTCATTCCAAATCTCTCCCACTGCCAAAGTAATTTTAAATTTTTTATGGCCTTGCAGATGATCAAAACAGAAGAATCAAAGCAAAGATATCTCTGTCCCCCTTAACCCACCCTTTCCCCAAACATATATAAACTGACTTTAGAACTGGTAACAAAAACGCAGTGTAAAGATGTTCTGTATGGCAATTAGAGACCAGGAACAGGCTGGAAATCAACTCACATCACCACCCTCGGCAAGTTATTAGCAGCACCACTGAAAGCCTGTGCAGTTAAGAGCCTCGCTGTGTTGCCAGTGAATAACGGAGCATTCGATTTTGCACAGTAGCACAATGTATTACTGAGACCTTAGCAAAACAAGCCCCAGATAAAGATAGATAAAACTAAACGGTCTTGGAATCAAATGACAAGAAAAATAGTAATAGGAATAATAGATACAAGCGTGCTATCTGTTCGCTGTAATACCTCCCAACATGGACAGCGATTTAAACGAGATGAATGCAGCATTACAGAGCCTGTCTTTCATCTCCTGTCTAGGTACATCCCTCTGGAAACACCACGCTTATGGCACCCTGCAATCACCAGCAGCTGGAACAGAAAGTTTTCTGTATAATCAAAGTTTGAAGCTTAATCTGCCTTTGCCCCCCCCGCTCCCCCCCCCGCACTCAGTGCAGGCAGGCACAGCGACGCGCTGTCTGTCTGACCGACACCCCGGGCCAGCGCAGGGCTCCGCCGGGCTCCCCGGGCCCAGCCGCGGGCACGGCCGGCTCCGCCAGGGCGCTGCTCGTCCCTGCAGCCGCGGCGGCTCCGGCACCCACCGGCCGGCAGCGAAAACCCGGAGACTTCCACCCGGGAGAGCCCAGTGGCCGGGGAAGCGTCTCCCCGGCTCGGCGAGGCCAATCGGGAACCTCCGCTCGGGCTCGCACCGCACCCGATGCCTCTCCAAGCGGGGCTGGGGGCGAAGCCAGCCCATGGCGCTCCCCGCCCCGGGGACGCCGGCAGCGCTCCGGGGCCGGCGCTTCCCAGGCAACAGTTGGCCGTGTCCCTCCGGGTCCCTCCCGCCACCGCCGCAGCCCCCCCGGTGCGAGGGGCAGGGGCACCTCGGGAAGGGCGCCTCGGGGCCGGGGAGCGGGCACAAAGGCGGCTGAGGAGGCTCAGAGGGCGAGGGGAGCGGGGAGACTCCGGGGCTGCAGCGCGCCGTCCCCGCCCCGCCGCGATGCGGGGGCGCCGAGAGAAGGAGCAGCAGAGGCGCCTCAGCCCCCACCCCGCGCAGCCCCGGGCTCCGCCGTGCCTCCGCGCTCTTACCTGGGCCGCCCGTCGCCGCTGGCCGCCGCAGGTACCCTCGTCCATCCCCCGCCGCTGCCTCCGAATCAGCCGCCGGCGCTGCGGCGCGGCCCAGCCCGCCCGGCCCAGCGCGACGCTGGCAGAGCCGCCCCGCCCCGCGGTGGCTGCGTGCGGCTCCCGCCGGCGGCCGCCCCGGGCGCGGCTCCCCCGGACCCGCCTCCCGCCGCCGCGGGGCGAGGCGCCCTCCGATGGGGATGGGGATGGGGATGGGGATAGGGACAGCGATGGGTCTCCCACCCCGTGCGGACCGTACACCGGCACCCCCTGGATCCCCAGCCGGCGGGTCGGGGCGCTGGGCTGTCCGCTCGGCGGAATCAGGGCAGGGTGCGTGTGACTGTCACCCGCGCTGCGCCCCGCCCGGGGACATCGGCGCTGCCCCAAACCCTCCCCGTTTCGCAAAGATCCCATCCCCCTCTCTCCGGTGGCCTCTGTTGTGGGGTGGGGGGAAGTGGGACGGGAAGGCTTCTGTGCGATTCTGCGACTCTGAACCCTGGAGTTCGGAACTTCACATAAATTTTTTTGTGTTCCTGGCTTTGCAGAAGGCAGCGCTTCCTCAAGACGTCAAAACCAGATCTGAGCCCATTCACAGCTCGTGAAAATACTTGGTACTTCCTCTTGCTGTGCTGAGGGTTAAATGAGGTTAGAGTCGCCAGAATGGCTGTGCAGCACTTGGTTTCCCCCTTCCCTAAAAGCCAGTCTGTGAGTCATTTAGGGTGCGAAAGCAAGAAAAGAAAAACAAAACAAAAAGTGGCAATATTAGAAGAACAGGATAGAAATACCTGCTCAATTGTTCAAAGGGCTTTGCTTGCTGAGCTCTTTAAATGTGAGAAATGCTGTGATGCTGACCACAAAGCCATCACAGCTCCGTGCCAGTGAACCCGAGAGTTCACAGCTGCGTTCTGCCTCGGGCAAATATGTTGAGGAGAGCTGTGTGCTCAGAGAGGTGTGATTCTCATGAATAAGGCAAGTTTTGGAGCGCTGCGAAGTGGAGTGGTTTGGTGGAGCTGTGAACATGTAGGACCTGCTGCTGCTGCTTTGACCTTCTGGCCTGCCACTCCCTCTGAGCAAGCAGTCCAAAGCAGCATCACTTTCATGATTTAACTTCTTCCCTTTACCCAGGCTTGATCCACATGTCCTTGAATTGTTCTTTTTTTGGTCTGAAAATTCCAAATTGTCTAGTTAGAAAATAATTCAAGTGACATACTTAGTCTATTAAAAGACTGTGTCTCTGTTGCTGTAGCACACTTAGGATAGCTACCCTTACAGCACCCAGTTTAGTAGAACACTGAGCTGCTGGCTTGCACTTTTTACCCACAAGTCTCAAAGTACCTTTTAAAAGAAGTAAATAGCATTGCTCCACTTTCAAGCGGGAAGAACAGTCACGTGGAAAACTTGAACCAGGAGAAAGAACTGAACCTCAGATTCCCAGCTAGCAACGTAATGTCCCCTTTTAATTATTTTTCTGGGGCATGCATTCTGACTGCTTTTATAATGGTTCTGTCTTGAACTAGATGCTTTTACAAAAGGAGAGGCAGCTGTCACCCATCTTTTGGAAATATCCTAACTCTATGACTGCATGCTATGTATGCTCTCAAGTTGTCTGTACTGAATACATCAAGGACTTAGCCAGAAGAATATTTTTATTCTGCATACATGTAATATTTAGGAGTTAGAAAAATCCAACTTTTAAATCCTGCCAAAATAAAGGAACTGCTAGATATTGATGAAATGAACCGTAGAACATCTACATGTAGTGTCACATACTACCATAAGACTGAAGTTGATCAGCCTGTAGGGGAAATGGCAGACAAGTGATAGATTTCAGATTCTCAGCTTTGGACAATGACGTTAGAGACCAGGAAACAATTATTTAACTGCCTACTGGCATAGTAGCCAAGCCACAGCTGTCTGTGTGAAACTGTTATCTTAGTGCTTGCGTGAGACAAAATCAGTTTGCAGCACATTGTGTAGGGATCAGATTCCTCAGTCAAGTGATTTCTTATAGCATAGACTCTGTGAGTGATCTCACATATCAGCCAGTTTTTCTTTGAAAATATTCAGGATACCCATGATTTTCTGTCTTATCTCTGCTAGCCCCGTCCCAATACCTCAAGCACCCTAAACTTTCTCAGGTTAAAGGATGTGCTTGCATTTACACTGGCAAATTGTACCTCTAAATTTGGGTATACAGACACCTCTATTTCTCAGACATTATTTAGGTGTCTAATCTCCCATTACAGGCAGTACTAAAGTCCAGGTCTGGTGCTTTCATGAAGTAGTTTCACACATCATAAGAAGCAGGTAGGCATCTAAAATCAGTTCTCTGGTAAGCAATGCAATGGGCCAGCCAGAACAGTCTGGTTATCACAGCTTAAAGCTACCCCTGATCCATGGGTGGGATAAATACAAACATCCAGAGATTTTGAAGTTACCCTTTGGTATCTTGCCTTATTTTCTACTCATCTTTCAGAAGCAACTGTAGGTCCTGTGACCTGTAGATGTAGGTCAGAATGCCCATTGCTACCTGAGTGAATCTGTCATCACTGCAGTGGAAATTTAAGTCACTTAGCTAAAGACACCTGCTGACAGACATCAAAAACTTAGCAGTCTGAATCTCACACTGAATCCCATCCAAATTGATTTGCAGTCTGAAATCTGAGGGGATTTTTACACATTTTATTTCATGGTTATGACAATGTATACACAACCAGTTGCCATGGCTCAACTGGGACATAGGACCATAGCAGCAATCTCTGGATTTTTTTAGGTGCTGGTCTTATAACATCTGCTGAAATTTGAATGATGACATAGATTCTTTTTTTAAACAGGAATGATTCATAAAAGTCATCTGCAATACTGGTAAATACTTTTGTTTTTATCTACCTGGAACAGTGTTGTTTAGTCTTTTGTAGAGTATGGTGCCTTTCAAGTCCTGAAACTCATTGCTTTATGCAGAATTGCATTCAAAATCACCTGGATGCAACCAGCAGTCTCCGAACAGATGGGCAAACGACTTTTCAGCTTTTGATGTTTAACTTGCCAAGTACAACTAATGTATTTATCTAGCACTTTTCTCCAGTATAACATGTGGGAGTTTATTTGTAGAATAAAGGGAAATCTTCCTTAATGCTCATTTTAGCTCTGTGCAGACTGAAAGGAAACAGGTTATTACAAAGAGCATTTTGAGAAAAAGAAAGGTTTAGAGCTCTGTTTAGAAATTACCAAATTCAAAGGAGAGGGTCTTTAATTTCAGTGCCCATTCCATCAGCCCCTTAATCATTTCCTCAGTCTGGAAGCCCTTTATTTTTGTGGTTAACAGAGAAAAAAAGGATAATTATATATTCTATGAGATAAATTATATGAATATTCAATACGGTCCTGTCATCACTTGTATAATTCACAGTACCACTGATATTGTTTGCAATGCCAACTTGTGAAGAGGAACCTCAGTGCTATTTTATAATTTAGGGACGTGATCTTCTTTTTCATTTATGTGACTGAAAATTAGGAATGAAGCCAGTAGCTTCCAAGACACAACAAATCAAAAGAAGAGAGGACAGAGTTAATCTATAATTTTACAACTCCGAATTGTGTCTGAAATTGTTTCCTATGAAAGAACAGTGCTGCTGTGGTTTTGTCAGTATTTTTCTCTCATATCAAGGAATCAGCCATTAGTAAGGGGTAAACTTCCTCATCTCAATTGTCTCAGGTATCTCCAGCATGAAGAGTTTTTTTTCTCAGAGCACACTGAGCCTTGACTATAGTAACCCCCAATTTCTCTCTTGTATCAAGTGGCGTGTGACATTGGCAGAGGCATGGGCAGCCAGCCCTTTGCTGACAAGGGACTAGCCATGGCAGCTCAGAGCAGCTACATAATTCACCAAAAAAATCTAGAGTCTCATCTGAATGCAGCTGGAAGTCTGATCCCTGTTTATCTACCTGTTTGGAAGTCAATATACAGGATATATAATCCGCTTTTAAAGACATGTATACAACTTGAATTGCAAACAATAAAAATATAATTATTTTATGCATTAAGTACCTTCATTAGGCATTCAATGCAAATTAAACAAATTTACTCAAAAAAGTGATATAGTGTAACTTCTGGTACATGCTTTTAAAAATATTGATATGCATGCGTACAGCTTAAAAATTGGGATGTATAAAATATAATGCTTCAAATAAAAATAAATTAGATTTTTGTCATTTTTAGCAAGTCAGAATAATATACATTAAATAAGAGTTTGTCAGTGTCATTGTATAGAAATGTGGTTAAATCCTAGGACTTTTTTTTTTGTTATGGTTGTCAACTATGACTCCACACATATTAGGCATGGACAAAGCATAATAATAGTGTTTCTATACACTGATAGATGCTTGTTGTTGAGGCTGTAGCACTGAAAATCATAAAAACAATTAAGAAGAAACTTACCATTTAAATTCAAAAGTTTATAAAGAAGCAGGCATGGAATATTCACTTTGAATGCTGCTTCTACAGTAAAACCTCAGGGTATTTTAGTAGAATTACATTGTACAACCATTAGGTCAGATTTGCTCGAAGTAAAATTCCTTTTGCCAAACAAATATTAATAATTTCAATAGCTCACTGGATATGTAATGTTTCATTTATCACTATTAATGTTAATAAGAAAATGTCTAAGTTCCGAACTACTTTAAGCTGGTCGGCACAAACCCATTTTCATTTGCATCGAGCAAGATGTATCCTGGCAACCGTATATTTTTGGATTCGTAACAATTTATTCTATTCATTTTATGTAAATGAGGTAACCAATACTGCAGGAATCATGAGAATACAAGAAGGATAACTTCCATCGTTCAGAGCTATAGATAGATGGTTAGGAACTTATGTGAGTTAGATTTTTTAAAAATAATCTGTAAGACATTTTCTTCAGTGTATTTATCTAGCTTAAATATGTATCTGGCATGATTCACATGTTTTTTTGCTCAAACATGGAAAGCAAGCAGCAAACCCACCTGAGTCCTATGCCATCATGATTATTCCAAACCACAGC